GCCCGGGGGTCAGTCCCGGCCCTGTGGCATGATTAGGGTCGCTATGTCAAGGGGACAGTTGAGAGTCTCCAGAACAGAGTGGATTAAAGGAAGAGAAACAGGCCATGCGAGGCAGTGAGGTTACAGGGGCTTGGTTTGCATATCATTTGCATGCTATTTGCATCCTTCTGTCTCTGCCTGAGGCTGTAGTCTGTATGGCAGCAAAAGGCTGTGCCTACAACCCTGACTCCACAGCCCCTAAACAAAGGCAGGAGGGGTCTGCTGCCTCCTTCAGGCAGCTCCCAGAGGTTAGTGGGCCACAGCCAGGAAGGTGGGAGGAGCTCATGCCGAGTTGGGGTCACACACGTGCAGGGACAAGTAGGGAGGGCACCTGTCTGGGGTCGGCCCCGCAATAAGGGGGTGCCCGTCGCAGCACAGCCTTGCTGCCTCCTGGAGCATAAGCAGAATTCACCCAGGAGTGTGAGCGGTCGATACCCTGGAGACACACGGGGAAGTGGTAGAGTCCGTGGGCAGAAGGCAGGGAGGAGAGCACGGAACACCAAGCGTGAGCACTGCCCAGGACCCCCACGCGACCCTGGCCAAGGCACGTGCACACAGGTGCACGGGGTCCGTGAGTCTATGCTCCCGTGGGCGTCCGTACAGGGAGTGCACGTACGTATGTGCCCCGTGCACCTTCATGCATGGGGTACGTGAGTATATGCACCTGTGTGTATTCGTGCACAGACGCACCTGCGCCACTGTGTACAGAGTGCTTTTTTTCAACCAGGCCAACCTCCAGCCACCCATCCTTGGGTTGGCCTTGGAGTGCGGAGCCCAGGGCAAAGTCTGAGTCACTGCTCCCAAGCTGTGACAGCCACAGACCAGCCCTGCTGCCCAGAGTCAGCTTCTGTCCATGCTGCTGTCCGGCACTTCCTGTCCTCTGTCAACAGTGAGATCCTTCACCCGCCCACCCAGCAGCCATGGCTAGAGACCCCAGGGCTCCCTCGCCCTACCTTGCTGGCCAGGATGCGGGAGACCTCGTCGTCCACAGAGCCCGGGGCCACGGCCAGGTCGGGGTTGCTGCTGCTGATGCTCTTAGAGCGGGCCAGGTAGAGGCTTGCAGGGCGGCCAGGGCCACGGGCCAGCGTGGCCGGCTGTACCGCCACCGGAGGGGACCCTGAGGATGGAGGCAAGATGGTCAGCCCCCTGCCCCTTCCATAAAGTCACTGCTGTCCTTTGAAAAGTCACTTTCTGTCTCTGAGCCTCCACGGCTCTTTGCCTATAAAGACGGGCATGCTAATGGCTGCTGCTTATAGTGATTTGGGGGAGACTGACAAACCCCAAGAACAGAGCCTGGCACATAGTAAGTGCCCAGAGGAGTTAGTGCTTAGTATTAATTGCTTAGCAAATAAAAGAGAATCCAACTGTATTGAGCGCTAACTGTCCCAAGCCTGTTGTATGGATTACTAGTTCATTTACTATCACCAGCACCCCTGTGCGGCAATGACCATTATTATCCTTGTCTCACTAATGGAAAATGGACCCAGAGATGTGAAGTCACTTGCCCAGGGTCACAGAGTTTGTAGGAGGCAGAGCTGGGATTCAAACTTGGGCAGTCCAGCTGAGTCTCTTGCTCTCAGCCTACTGCAGATGCTTGTTGATAGGCTGAACCGCCCACCAGTCAAGCAACAAAGACCACATCCCTGGCGGTGAGGGGAGGAGTGAACAAAAACTCTCATTCTTGCCAGTTGCTCAAACCAGCCAAGGTCTGTATGGCCTCTGGGCCTTTGCATATGCCATTCCGCTGGCTGGGATGCTCTCCTCCCAGATACGTCCTGTCCCCCAGAGCCTCCCACCAACACTTACCACTTGGGAAGGTGGGCTCAGTGCCAGGCAGTCGGAAGGCATAGTAGACATAGGCAGCCAGCAGCGGGCAGTGACCACGGGAGTCCTGGGCAGCCTCCAGACTCCGGTGGACAAGGCTGACTACATGGGCCATTGCTTCAAAGGCCCCACGACCTAAGTTCACTGCCGGACAGAGCAGAGGTCAAGTGCCAAAGCCCAGGGCCTTCTCCCTCCCCAAGGAACCTCCTATCTGCTGCCACCTCTCCAAGGGGTTGTGTATGTGGCCAACCAAAAGGTCACAGCACACCTGCTCTGGGCCCAGGGGGTTGGGAGCCATTTTTCAGAAAGGATCGAGGCCAGAAAGATAAGTGGACTCTAGGAGGTCACCCAGGACGGGGGGGGGGGGGCGCTGAGGGGCGCTTCTCAGATGGGTAAACAGGTCTCAGGCTGTGCCTGCTCACCAATCTGGCCGCCAATGATTGGAGGCCGCACAACTAGACGTACGAGCTTGTCCAGCACGTGGTGGGAGAAGGCAACAAGTGGCTCGGGGCTGGCGAGGCGCAGGGCTGCTAGGCTGGCCCGCAGCTCCTGCTCCACGGTACCCTCACTCAGCACGGTGTCCTTGAGGCGGAATGGGAAGGCCCCCTCCTCCAGGACATGCACCAGGGTGAAGAACTTGTCCAAATGAGGGTCCTGGGGGTGGGGGAGTTGCCTGGGGTGAGCAGGGTGGGGCCAGGGTTCCATGGCTGGAAAGACCCTGGGGGTGCAGATGGGGAGTGCTCCATGGGCAGAAAACCAAGGCCAGGGATCAATGAATGGACTAAAAATGAGACAAGGGATGAGCTGGTAGTTGGATGGAAGAGAGAGGGGGAGTGACCACAGAAGCGGCAAGGAGAGATCATGCAAAGGGCCAAAGCCCCCAGCTGGGATGGCCACTGGTAGGGCCACCCCTGCCTGAGTCAGCAGCTTCCCTGGGAGCCTGGCCTGGCTGACCCAAGTCACATCCGTGGCCTGAGGCCAGGCCACCCTGGCCAGTGGGAACTGTTGCTCAACCCCGGGGCCGGACTCCTGGGTTCCCCCGCCCCCTACCTGGGGGTGCACAGAGGACACAGCAGTGAGCTCCACGCTGAACACGCCCTTGTGGCCGTCCACCCAGCGCATGCCCGGCAGCGCCACCTGCGGGAGCGACACAGCAGGTGGGCACCGGGCAGCCCTCCCGCGCCGATCAGGCCACCAGCCCCAGCCACTTGCAACACCGTGGGTGGTGCACAGCCCAACCTCAGGGAGCAGCAGGGCACCAGCCCAGGGAGGCGCGGACAGGAGGGAGTACCGTGGGTGGGGAGCCCCCGGGGCAGGCTGGAAGCCCGGGGTCCTAACGGAGGAGCAGAGAACAGAGGAGGCCTGGGGCGAACATTACCAAGGGGAATGGGTCAGGAAGGAGCATGATGGGAGAACTTGAGGTCCACGGGGCATTAATGGCAGCTCAAGGGAGTAAGCGGGAGGGTGACAGCATTAATGGGGGTGATGGGCCCTTGGAAGAGCTACAGGGGAAGGGATCATGTGTGGTCAAGGAGGCAGGCAGGACTGCTAATGGGGGCCTGGAGCAGAAAGACAGCGGGGGACAGAGAGGGACACATGGGTCAGCAGGACACAGACAAGCAGTAACGGGGATGATGGGGCGGCCCCAACACAGGACTAAAAAGCTCCCAGGGGTATTGATGGGAAGGAAGGCAGGGCATGGATGAGGGGCCATGAGCCTGGGCAGTGTCATCAGGGGACAAGGCCTCGGGAGGAGAGGCAGGGGGCCAGCACACATACGTCCGGTGTGAGCACAGAGTAGCTGGGCGGGAGCTGGTCCACGGACACAGGGAGGCAGAAGGGGCCGGTCCTCAGGCGGCCATGCTGCAGCAGTGGGATCCACTGGGGAGAGGCTGGGGGTCAGGGATGGGGCCAGAGAGGGGTCAGCAGGGCTGGGGTGCGGGGAGGGGACGGGGCTGGCAGGGCTCTCACAGTAAAGCCCACGGGAGTCTCCAGCGCTGTGCCTGGCCGGGGCTGGCAGCTCACATGGTAGAAGGTGAACAGCAGGTGGTGGTTCTCGGTCACACAGGCTGGAAGACGCAGCTTGAACTCCTCGTAGAACTCTGGGGACCTGGCAGGGGGCTCTGCTGGGGGCTGGGATGCCCCCTTGCCATCCCCACCCCCTCTCGCAAGGGATTCCCCAAGGCTGTCTGGCCCTGTCTGCTCTCTGCCTCATGTTCCCCCATTAGGAGGTAGCCTCCTTCCCTTGTGTTGTCCCCTCATGTCCCCATCGCCGCCCTGTCTCTCTATCACGTCCCCACATACTTGTTGTGGTAGACCACTGGTGTGAAGGCCTCCCGCGTGAATTCACTGCAGCTGGATTTGCCAAAGATGACCTGGGGGGAGGGTGTGCATGAGGGACCCACCTGGGACACCCCCCCCCGGGATACCCCCCTCTTCTCCCCCAGGCCTGGCCACTGACCGGCAGGGCCTGGCTGGGGTCCTCGCCGGCCATGTACTGCACTCGCACAGTGAGGTTGCGCACGGAGCCCTGGCGGCTACTGAAGTTAAGGCAGTGTGGGTAGACGTACAGCAGGTTCCTGCGGGGACAGGGGGGCATCAGAGGGACAGAAGAGGCTGGGCTGCTGGCACAATCCTGGCCTGGGACACAGGGGGGCAATGGCCATGCCGCTGGGCACCGAGGGTGGGGTATGGAGAGAGCAATTAGGGGCACCAGGAGGGAGGTGTCACTGACAGAGTGGGGGCAGAGAGGCACCCTCAGGGCATAGGTGGGAAGAAGGCACAGCAGAGGGTAGGAACGCAGAGCAACTTCAGGGGCACATAGAAGGCATGGGGAGGTGCCAAGTGGGGACAGACGGGTGCTCGGGGTCGGGCTTCCAAGAAGGTAGCCCAGGTGGCCAGCAGTCAGGCCTGAGCTCCGCCTGGGCTGACCTGCCCTTCCCCCAGGAGAACCCACTAGAGTCATGAGGCCTGTCTCCCAGCTGGAGAAACTGAGGCCAGAATCAGAAGTGGGGCTGGGCTAAAGTCTGAGTTCTGCCTCTCTCTCCTGGGGTGACTCTGCAAGCCCCAACCTCCTTCTGGGCTTCAGTCTCTCTATCTGTAAAATGGGGGCAGCCAAGCGTTCATAACAATACCAATAACGATAAGCAACCAGAGCGACAAGGATCGTACCGAACATTCCTAGGGCACCCACTGTGTGCCCAGCTCTGTTCTAAATGCTCAGTGTGAAACAACTCATTTATTTCTCCAAGCAGCCGAAGAAGGGGGATGAATGTCCCTTCTGTTCTACAGGTAGGGGAAATAGAGGCACTTGCCCAGTCATCCAAGGAGCAGAAATGGCAGTTAGCGCCGATCCAGGGCACCCTCGGGTCCTTCAGGTCAGGCTGTATGGCCTTGGGAGAGTCTCTGCCACCTGCACCTGCTCCCCCAGGCGTCAAGCAGGCCAGCACAGACCCCAACATCATGGGCTTGTGGGAAGGTCATGGGAAGCCAGCTACCGTCAGGGCCCTGAAGCATGGCCAGGTGAACGATTGGCGCGAAGACGCTCACTATCACTACTACTGTCGTTACCATGCCTGTTACTGCTGTTATCCCTTCCACTGGTGGGGAAACTGAGGCTCCAAGCTTCAGGTTCCCCCAGTGGGGTCCAGGCCTGTCCTCTCCCAGTGCCTCCCAGTCCACATCTGGCCCCAAGCCCCAGTCAGCGTGATCTCAGCGTGGCCTAGCCAGACATTCGCCTGATGCAACTGTCTCACCACCGCCAGGCCCTTGCACAACACGGGTTGCCCAGCTGGCCAGTTAACGATTGACCGGGGGTTAACGGGGTGCTGGGACATAAAAGCTGGTGGCGGTGGCGCCGAAGCCGCACCCTCAGAGCCTCAGCCATGCCCAAGCTCGCACTGTGCCTACTGTGCGTCCTGGCAACGGTGGCCCGGCCTGCCTCTGCAGCTCCCGTGGGGGGCCTGGAGCCGGCAAAACAGGAGGAGCTGACCCTCCTCTTCCATGGGGCTCTGCAGCTGGGTCAGGCCCTCAATGGCGTGTACAGGGCCACAGAGGCACGGCTGACAAAGGCTGGGCACAGCCTGGGACTCTACGGCCACGTACTGGGGCTTCTGGGGCAGGAGGTCAGCCGGGGCCGGGATGCAGCCCAGGAGCTACGCACAAGCCTGTTGGAGATGCAGGTGGGCACTGCAGTTGGGGCACCGTGGGGTGGGTAGGAGTTTGCAGTGGAGTCGTCTAGGGTAACCAACTGTTTGGGTTTGCCCAGGATTGAGGGAGGATCCCTGGAATACAGGACTTCCATGCTAAAACTAGGCAAGTTGGTCATCCTACTAACACCCACTATTTATCGATCAGGTGGAGGAGGATGCTCTAAAGCTGCAAGCAGCGGCCACGGCCCAGGCACTGAGGGAGGTGGCCCAGGGACAGCAGATGCTGCGGGAGAGCATGCAGCGACTAGAAGTCCGGCTGAGGGGCGCCTGGCTGGGCCATGCCCGGCAAGAATTTGAGGCATTAAAGGTAAGAGGCTCCCAGCCCTAGTGGAGGTGAGACTGAAGAACTCACTCCTGAGCCTTGAGTCCCAGAGACATCTTCCAATCAGCCTCCCTGCCATTGCCTCTAGCCTATGTGACACTGGGCAAAATCCCCGCCCCTTACCATGCCTCAGTTTCCCTGTTGGCAAATAAGGGCAACAATTCATGTCTCGGAGCAGAGACAGGGACTCAATGCAGACAAAATACTCAGCATGGGGCAGGGGATATAGAAGTTACTCAATAACTATTAGGGTAACTGGTATTACCTCTCGAGCGCCCAATAACTACCCTGCTGTGCCTCTTAATAATCCATATCACGCTTAGAAGCAAGTCCTATGGCATCGCCATGTAACAGATGGGGAAGTTGAGGCCACAGAGCAGCAGTGACTTGTTAGGTCATACAGAAGCAGTTGGGGGTAGGGTAGGCAGCCCTGGGCAGGGTAGAGGGACAGGGAGGGGAGTCGGCCCCAGCTGAGGTTGCTGGCCCTGACCCCACAGGCCCATGCTGACAAGCAGAGCCACATCGTGTGGGCCCTCACTGGCCACGTGCAGCGACAGGGACAGGAGATGGCAGCGCAGCAACACCGGCTACGACAGATCCAGGAGAGGTGAGGCTGGAGGGGGCTGGATGGGCAGGGCTGCCGGACAGGAGGTGTGCTGGGCGACGGGATGGGGGCCCCTCTGCCTTGGCTGAGCCTCATCTCCCTTCCAGACTCCACATGGCGGCGCTCCCGGCCTGAGCCTGCCTGGGCGGAACTGAGGACCGGTCATTCGCTGCGGGATGCGGCCATGCCCCACGCGGCCCCTAAACAAGGAGGAGCTGCCCATGCTTGGGGTCGGCCAGGGTGCTGGCTGGGGCCTGCTCCTGGCCACAGAGGAGAGACGGAAGCAGGCGGGGCCACGGGCAGAGGACACGGCCCCCTGTCGAGGAGGGGTGGAGGCAGGACACAGGACACTTCATGCGTACACACCCCTCCATTAAAGCGGAGTAGTGGGATCTCACTCTGGATGTCTGCGTGTGTCTGGGAGAAAGGGGACCTCGCCTTGTGTGATGCATGAATACCGCCCCCTCCCCGCTCCACTCGAGTGCCCAGCTGGGCCTGAGGGGCCGTACCTGTAGCTGGTGTGAGGGGCATAGACCTCACGGGCAGGGAACTCCAGGATCTCCTTGGTGGGCCGGCCCCTGGGGTCTGGGTAGGGCTTGACATGAAGCAGCTCCGGGGAGAGGCAGAAGTGTGGGTTCTCAGGGGCGGGGGAAATGTCGATCTTGAGCTGGGCTGAGGAGAGAGGCGAGGGTTGCACCTGCCTGGGAGCCTCCCACTTCGGCCCCACCCTCTCTGGGCTGCAGGGTCAGGGCTCTGACTTTTCCATGATGCCCTCTAGTGGCTGTCCTGCCGGTGCTAAGGCCAGAAGTCACCTTCAACTGCTGTATCTTGCCCCCACATTTGATCAGCTCTACCCTCCGGACCCATGTCCCCACTGCTACCATGTCCCCCATTTGACCCACGATCTGTCGCATTATATTTCTTGTCTATGACTCCCATCCAGCCCCTGACATCAGGGATTTGTGTCAGGGTCACCACTGGGTCCCCAGGGCCCGGCACAGCAGGCACTCAGTGTAGGTCTGCTGAGTGACTGCATGAAGTGTCAGCTCTTATTTACAAGATGCACCACGCACCAGTCACTGGCCGCAGGCGCCGCAGGAGAGAAGACGGGCGTCGCATGTCAGCCAGGAACTTGAAGAGGTCCTCATCACTGAGCCGCTCGGCCTCCTGCACAGGACATGCCCATGTAAACTGGGTCCCGGAGGCCCGTGCGCCCACAGTGGGGTAACAGGGGTTGTCCCTGGGAAACCCTCCCCCAGCCCCACGGCCTTGACACCTGCTTAAAGAAGTTGGTGACGGTTAGCGTGGCTGGGCGGAATCCAGAGAAGCTGCAGGTGTCATCCCCACTACCTGTCCGATCCTGGGGCCCGCGACGGCGGCGGTCAGTCCAGGCAGGTCGGCGCTCTAGGGGGGGCAGTGACAGCGATGGAGGGGGCAGAGGTGAAAGGAAGGCGGCGAGGGCCAGGGGACCAGGAGACTCAACCTTGTACCCAGTCCGGCCAGCAGAGGGCGCCCCTCCCCCTCCCCGTCGGCCCCGCCCCTTCCCCTCTGGCCCCGCCCCGGCCGTCGGCCCCGCCTCCTCACCCCCCTCGGAGTCCGAGGAGTCCCGGTCGGGCTGCCCAGCGCTGCTCACGATGTTGGCCAGGTGCACCGCCGTCCAGGCGAAGGGCATGCGGTAGCGGCCCAGGCGGGTGCAGAACTGCTCGGCCGCCAGGCGCAGCTTCTCCAGCTTCTCTTTGTTCTGTGGGGACACCCCCCACACACATGCCCCACCCGCTCAGTGCTCCAGGCCTACTGAATCCAGGACCTGCCCTGCCCGGGGACCCCTTCACCACCCTGCGCAGCCTCCACTTGCCTACCTTGGCCGTGTCCACCTCCTTCATCACCATGTAGGGCTCGCAGCACTCGCTGATGTCCCCTTGCTGCAACACTTTCTCCAGCTGAGGGGCGGGCGGGGCCAGTGAGGTGCAGCCTGGGACCCCAACTTCCCACCGCATTCCCCCTCCTGGGCCCTCAGCCACTCACTCCATCCAACTAAGGCTCTCCCTCCAACACCTCCCATGGTTCCCACTGTCCTCAGGACTGAACACTAGCAGTTGGCTTGCCTGGCCGGCTGCCCCTTCCCCCACCCTTTGAACCCACTGCGAACCCGAGTCTCCATATTTCTCTACATTTATATTTTTGTTAGTATATACAGAGGCCACTCCAAGCAAGGCCAGACCCCTATCCTGACCACTTGGGGGCTGTGGGAGCCTAAACAGGTCCCCAACCCATTCTGTACCTCAGTTTCCTCATCTGTAAAATGGGGGCCATGGCAACCCCCATCTCCTGAGGCTGCTGTTATGTTAAAGGTAGTAATCCCCGTATAGCCTTACTGACCATGAGCACTGTCTGCCTAAAGGTGCTCAGTGTAATTAGCATAACCTAATTGAAATTTGGGGAAGAAAATTTGAGCCCATTTCTAAAAACAGAAAATCTCACACAAATGTGCCAACTAGGTCTTTCTTCCCCTAATAAACTGAAAAACTCTCAACTTAAAAAAAAAAAATTCTAAATGTCCATCTGCATGTGCCCGGATACTGTTTCTCCCCAGGGTACCCAGTCATGGGGCTTGGCTTAGCCATCACCTCTCCATGGAAGCCTTCTGTGATTTCTCCCCACCTGGGCTGGGTCAGGAGCCTTCTCTGGGCTTGCCCAGCTGATTGTGTTTCCCTCACAACAGACTTGATCACCCTTCCTGGTGACATGTCCATCCTCTCCCATGAAAGCAGGGACCACACCTCTGACGTTTACCATTATCACCCCCTGACCTAGCCCCAGCCAGCACCTTGATGACCAGGAAGATGTCAGGTGAGGGGTATGTCACGGAGAAGATAGCAGAGCGGGCCAGGGTGGAGATGGCGGGGTGCGTGCCATGGGCCCGCAGTAGCCCCTTCATGGAGTCCGAGTTCAGGTCAAAGTAGAAGTTTTCTGAGATCTGGGGACACGAAAGGCAGCTGAGCCACCACCTCCAGGAAGCCCACTGCCCTGCAACAAGGAGGAAGGTTGGGGTAGGAAAGGGAAGAAAGGGATTCCTACCTTTTTCTTCTCCCGCACATCATACAGGGCCAAGATGCCAAAGATGGGTTCAATTTCGATCTCAAACCTACATGAATGGAGAACTCTGGCAGAGGCTGCCCTACCTAACACTCCCACCATCCACACATCCCTCTCCCTCTTGAGACCCAGCCCAGACTTGGTGCATCTTGGTGGTGGGGCTAATTTCCATTGGGCCACAAAGAATTGCTACTCAAGGGCTTGCAGGAAAAGCCTGTCCCATTTTGCAAAAGGTGAAACAGAGGCACTGAGACCCCACCCACCCCAGGTAACCCACACAGAGCCCTTTCCCTGAAACTATGATATGGGGGAAGCTTTTGGCACAATGCTCCCCCCCTCCAGTTTTAAATTCTCAACCCCTGGGCCTCCCTGTCTCCCCTTCTGGGGTGCCCCCTGCCATCCTGGGCTGAGTCTCATCTTCACTCACCTCAAAGGTCCCTATAACCACCTCCCTGTCTTACTCTGCCTTCGTGACCCCCACCCATCACGTGAGTCCTAAGGAAGCATTTTAAAGCTTACAATTTGAGGCTCCCCAGTATGCTGGGAACAAAATCCTACATGTCCAGCCCTGCCACCTCTTGGCCTGTTTTCCCTCTTCAGACATCTCCCAGCCTTTGGGTGTGCTATGTCCCCCCCACCTAGAGAGCCCTGCACGGTCATCCCATGGTTACAGGCCTTGTACACAGTAGGTGGTCAGTGAGTGTTTGTTGAATGACTAGATACTCCTAGAGCTGGTTCCCAACCCTAGTGCTAGGGGCAGGCAGCCCACCCGGGCCTCAGGCCAGACCAGGGCCTCCCTTTCCTGCCTCCATCCAGGCAGGAACTCAGGGTGGGGAGGGGCAGGGCTGGGATCAGGTCCAAGGCCACATCCTGTTCAGCTCCATTCCCACGCACTTCTGGCGGCTCCCAGAGACCAATGTGGAGGGGGCCTTGGTCAGCTGGGAGCCAGAGCCCCCTCCAGCCTGGGTCCCAGCAAAGTGAGTGCCAGACTCTGGCCTCACACGGCTTGTGATCTCGGGTATGACGATTGCCACTCCGTGCCTCAGTTTCCCTACCTGCACCTATGTCACAAGCTTCTGAAGATTAGGGGTAATACACGCGAAGGGTTGAGAACAGAGCCTGGCATATAGTTAGTGCTTAAGGACTAGTGGCTTTGAAGAAGAAGAAAAGGAAGTCTGACTTCCCACCTAAACAAAGTGCACAGATGGCCATATGGGTCTTAGGGATGCACACAGTTGTGGCCCGGCTTGAGCAGCAAATGGTCAGTGTGCGCATACGTGCATGCTAACCAATGTGGAGCCTTATATGTCTGGAGGGGCAGGTCAGCACACTCACTTCAGTGACAGACACTTGACCAGGATCCTCTGTCCAAAGTGTTCACGAGGTGGCTCGGGGCGGCTGCAGCGTTCCACGGCGTCATCCTACCAGGAACCAAGGAGGGCAGCTGGGACACATCCTCAAAGAAGGGCTTGGAATGCATGGCTTGAGACCAGCTTACCCTCAGCCTGACCTAAGTTTCTTGCAGTTCCTTGCCACTGTGCTTTTGCACATGTTATTCCCCCTGCCTGGAAGGCCCTCTGTCTCCCTACCTTGTTCAGATTGCAGCTGAGCTAGCACTTCCTCCAGGAAGCCTTCCCTGACTCCTGAGGCCTGAGCAGACAGCTTGTCCAGGTGTTCACAATGCCCTATTGCAAAGGGCCACATGGCTGGGACAGAGAGGGCCATGCGAAGGCCAACTACCGGCAACTCACCATGGCACCACTCGGTCTGGGTTGCAATCTCTTGGTAGGAGGATCTCTCCTCCACTACATTGTGAACACTGAGGGCAGAAACTGAATCTATCCTGCTCATGGCTATACCTCCAGGGCTTACTATACAGCTTAGTCAAATAAATATGAAGGTATACAGTAGGAACCTACTAAAAGGTGGTTGGATAAACATAGATGTATACAGAAAACATCTGATTAATGCTGACTGTACATACAGAAGGATACATATTAGGCCCCCAATAACTACTGATTGAATAAACATAGGAGTATACAGTAAGCACTCAATAAATGGCTGAATGAAAACATAGGTGTAGGAACACCTGGGTGGCTCAGTGACTGGGTGTCTGCCTTCGCCTCGGGGCGTGATTCCAGGATCTGGGATGGAGTCCCACGTCGGGTTCCTTGTGGGGGGCCTGCTTCTCCCTCTGCCTGTGTCTCTGCCTCTCTCTCTCTCTCTCTCTCTCTGTGTCTCTCATGAATAAATAAATCTTTAAAAAAAATAGGTGTATACACT